TTTGCTCCCGCCCCCCCCCCAGCTTCTTACGGCCTATTAAAAAAAAAAAACTCTCTTTTCCCCCCTTTTAAGCGCCGACAGGAAAGACATCCAGGATTTAAGCGCCGACAGAAATGACATGCAGGAGGTTAAAACACAGCTGAATCAATTCATCAGTAAGAAAAAAGGAACCTTTCTCACTCGTCAACATGATTAAAAACATCAAAATTAAGAACTTGTGCCCGCCTCATTGTGCCAATTGTTGAATATTATAAACTCAAATACTTAGAAGAAAAGAACAAAAAAAAAAAAAAAAAAAAAAAAATTACTCTTTCAAGTTTATCACCGCTTATTGATGTTGCTAGGCCACACTTCTTTCACATTCTTACTCGACCTAGTAACATGAAGTTATTGTTCATCCTCATCATCCAGAGAAAGATTGATGGCCAATATAAATCATAAACAAAAATATTAAGGTTAGTTATTTGCAAAAAAAAATAAAAATAAAAAGTAAACAAAAAAATTGGCTAATTTTCTTTGCATCATGCTTGGGTTCTATTGGTAAAGTTTAGACAGAATGATCATAAAAAGTCATCCCATTACAAATGGTACCTCATGGGAACAGTGCTGCCCAGTTGCAACTTATCCTCACTAACAAAAGCCGACACTCACTCTTGCCAGACTCATTGCACACTACAGCCTGAACACTAAATCATAGGCATTTTAAGCCACAAACTAATAAAAAAAAAATGAGGGAAAGCATGTCAAAGGGTGTTAGCATCGAACAAAACATTGAAACCCAGACTACCACGAGCTATAGAATAATCTTGACATAGATGCCCCAAAATTGATCAATAAATAATAAAGGGTTAATTAGGTCAAAGTACATCCACCGCATTGCAAACTTGTAAGTTTAAATTGAAACCTCACTTTTTTTCCCTTGCAAACCATATTTTTGCCAGCTTAACCTTGAACATTGATCACCCAAATACCCTTGCAACTCACCCAAGCCACTCAAAATTAAAATTTGTATGATTTGCTGATTGGTACCACCCACACACAAATAATTACATGCCATTGGATCACATGGACCTCCATTTTCAATATAAACATTCCATGACAAAGATCATTAGCTAATAACCATTTTTTAACATCTATCTTAATCTATCCTCAAAATATGCAGACAACTTTTAAACTTGACCAGACATACTATGCATATATTAACCCAAAACCTACAAGGTTATTGGTTGAGTTAATATCATCAGCCTATATATTAAATAATGTTGTTCGAAGGGTGCCATGGTGCGTCGAGGTGTGTCAAAATATGTGACTCTCAAACACTCATCTATGGGCTACAATGAGGTGACATAACTCCTAAAATCCCAAATCCCCAACTAGATATGTCCCATTACTAATTAGTGCAGATGTAAATGCCTTTCTTTGAGCACCAACAATTGGCGTGATTGCTTTCTTGATTTGAGAGATTGGCAAACACTTTAAATGCTAAAAACGTAAGTGATAACTTGACATTTTACGGTGGAAAAAGTTGGTGAAACAAATATGTGCTCCAAAAAATAATTTAGATAAAATTTAGTATCAAAACATAAAATTCTAGAGCAACAAATCTTGAGGATGAAAAGGATGACGAGTCCTACAAGACAACAAAATAGACAGAGGACTACAAATGAGAGTCTGGAGAACAGAGTTGGGTGCTTCTAAAAATACAATAAATAGTAGTAAGACTTGATTATTTCCGGTCTCTAAATGCTACATACTTAATTAGTTTAATTATGTTTATATAAAATAACACAATTAGTAAGAGATTAGCTTAAGGTCTGTTTGGAATCACTTTTTGTTTCTATTTTTTTAATCTGTTTTATTTTTATTTTGTTTTCTGTTTTTTATTTTCTATTTTCAGAAAATGTGATAATAGTGTTATGATTTATATGTTTTTAAAAGCAAAAAATATAAAATAAGTTTGGTTAGGTACTTTACTTTTTATAAAATGGTCGAGTCAATATAAGCTCCAGTACTAAGCTCTGTCGCCCATGATGTATACGACGTATTTCTTGTTCTACCCAGTATGAAGCAGTACCAGCGGGCGGGCGAGTGGGTCGCAGCAGGCGGGTGGCGAGAGGACGGCTAGTGGCCGGCAAAGGCTATTGCAGGCTGCTAAGGGCTGGCGACGGCGAGAGAGAGACCATCGATTGACATGGGCAGACAAGCGGCGGGGACGATTGCCGGTAGCAGGTGGCGGCAACCATCGCAACGTCAGGCAGTGGCCGACGTGTGGGGAGGGGGGGTGGTCTGGGGGCAAGCAGCTCCCGGCAGGTAGGGGCCGACGGCGGCAAGTGGGGGCCAGCAGTGGATGGCTAGAGGAAGTCGACGATTTGCGGCGGCGAGCCACCCGGCCTCATGTTCTATGTTTTA